TAGACTATTTATAGCTTCTTTCTAATTCATGGGCTCTAAGGATCTGTGGCCTGAGGTCTGATACTGTGTTCTCACAATAATATGAGTAATTAATGTGAGAACTAATCTGACATTAAAGAGCAATTTAACAGACCATATTTCAACCGGAGAGACTATTTTTTTTTATATAGTAGAAGGAATATTTATTAACATGTGCACATAAGAATGAAAGTGTCAAATGTTTTGGTGATTAGACCCAATGGAGATGGTATGAATTAGGGAGGGTGATGAATCTGTAGTCAAATAGGGAACCCCCCCGGGCCTAGACACTGGTGGTCGTCAAAGGTGGTGAAGATGAGATGAGAAGAGGATGGAGAAGCGCTGATGATCTGGATGAGTAGAGGAATGAGCCTTTGTTGAGCTTGTCCTGGACTCTGGATACGATGGCTGGAGCTGAAAAGGGTGGAGGAGGGTGCAACATTTCTGCCAAAAATGACAGCTGACAGCAGCAGAAGAGAGAGCAGATGTAAAATTTTGAAGTAGCACCCTGATTGGCTGATAGAGATCATGGCCGTTTGATTGGATAACTAAAAGAGTGAACAACTGCAGGTCAGCTGATTAAAGGGAGCAGAGGGAGTGAAAGGGAGAGAATTGTGAATGGATGAGCACAAAGAAAGTCTTTCTGACTGAACTTACGCTGAGCTTTGTTTGCTTAAACATGCTCTCTTTACATATTAATAAAACACATTCAAATACAGTGTGCTTTCAGATCTTTCCCTCTTTTCAAGTTACAACACAGAATAAGAGTTATGTATGTAAGTATGTCTCTGTGAATTCTCGATGAGATTATATGTAATACCTGGATTTTTATGCCTCCACAGTGATGAAAGTTGTGGCCAAAGGCATTTTGTTTTCAGATTGTCTGTGTGACCATCCCATTCTTGTGACATGGTATCTCAATAACGCCTTGGAGGAATTTCTTCAAATGTGGCACAAATGTCCACTTGGACTTAATGATGAACTGATTAGATTTTGGCAAAGGTCAAGGTCACTGTGCCCTTATCCATCAAATTCTTGTGAATGCAATACTTCAAGAATGCCATGAGTGATATTTTTTTTTTTTTTTTTTTTAATTTAGCACAAATGTTTGACACTTTGAGTCACGGATAAATGGATTTTATTTTTTATGGTTTTATGGTAAAGGGTGAGAGGTCATGGTCACTGTGACCTTATCTGTCTCATTCTCGTGAATGCAGTATCTGAAGAACACCTTGAGGGAATGCTGAACCCCAAATTGCTCCTGATGGCTGTTCCATTGGTGTGTGAGTGTGTTAAAAACTGAGGAGCACATTGGAGCTTGTATGGTAGCCTTGGCCACCATTGTATGAATGTGTGTGTGAATTAGTGAATGTGACTCGTAGTGTAAAAAGCGCTTTGAGTGGTCGGATGAGCAGAAAGGCGCTATACAATTGCAGATCCATTAACCATTTACCATTTACGTCCACTTGGACTCAAGAATGAACTAATTAGATTTTGGTGGACAAAGGTCAATTTCACTGTGTCTTTGTAGCTGTCTCATTCTCATGAACAGGCAATCTCAGAAAGGCCTTGAAGGAATTTATTCAAATTTGGCACAAATGTCCACCTTGACCTTATGATGAAGTGATCACAATTTGGTGATTGGAGGTCAAAGGTCAAGGTCATTGTGACATCACAAAACACATTTTTGGACATAACTCAAGAATTATGCTTATTAAAGCCACAGTGTGTAGGAATTTCTCCCATCTAACATTGAAATCATATATTGGATTCAAACGGATAGCACACTCCAGGGCCTCACTGTTTCAAACTCATATTGAAACAACGGTAGCTGCTGTGTACCAAAAAGCTATGATAACATTGATGAAACCATGTCATCCGATACTTCATGGAGTATTCATTCAGGCTCCTACACAGGAGGGGTAGTAGCAAATTGCCTCTTGCTCCTCTCCTTCGGCTTCTCAGTCACGCAGCGCTGGCCTGGCTCTCAACGAAAACGCCACAGGCGGGGCTGTATGTCCCTTGCTGGCAGATGTATTTTCAAGATGGCCCGCTCAATGTACAAACAAATCTGAAATTCTCCTTTTACGAGAATAAGTCAGATTATTGGTGAGGTAATAGTACACCAATGATGACATATTTATGAATGCAGACATCCATTTTTGCCAATAAACAACTGAACATGTTACACAATGTCCCTTTAAGAGAAAAATTTCACACAAACATCTAATAGGAGAAAATGATAAAAGGATAACATTTTATATCCAAAAGGTCAAAGGTCAACTTGATTGTGAGATCATAATGTTCTTCAAAAACACTATTCTGGCCATTACTTAATGTCATAACTCAGGAACGAAAGGGGAGAAATTTGGTCGACATTAATCTTGGGTGTCCATCTTGAAACTGTGCTGATTGTATAGATCTTCTGTGCTGGAAGATGTGTGTGAAGCATCCATGTTTTCACAGACATGGATACAATCTGTAACTGCAACTTGGTGGGTTCAGGATGGCAAACAACTGCAAGGAGGTAATTCTAGTCAGTTCCCTATCAGGAAGTATAAAATAGAGCTCAGAAATGTTAAAGTTATAGCCCTCTGTCTATTTTGCAAGTGGTGATGGTGCTTTTTGTGGCTGGTGTCAGATGGCAGTGGGGGGTGGCTGCAGATTGCTAATCAGGATGAGGAAATCAACTCAACAGTTTGTAAACTCTCTTCCTGCCACCTCTGCTAGCTTGCCAGATTGAGGTTTTGACATGTAAACATCAGTGAGCATCGAGACACACATTTTTGTGTGGCTTTTTCTCCTGAACTAGCATCCTGCTAGCCATTGTACAAATGTTGGATAATAAACTGCACAACATCCATGCCACATCAGTTACCAAAAGAAACAGGAGCAGTAATATCCTTTGTTTTACCAATATCTAGCTAAATCCTGGAACACCAGTCAACCAGGTGACTCTTTTCTTATATGCTGATCTAACAGAATAAAGGACTAGAGACAAGAGGACAAGAGAAAGGGAAGAGGCATGTGCTTCGAAGTATACAGTATAAGGAGTAGTGTGACACTGGGAATATGATGTGCTGTCCTGTTCCTGCTAGCCCTGCACCACAAGGAAAATTAACTCTCTGGATCACTGCTGTACACTGTTCAGAGGTGGCTGCAGCAAAGTCGCTGCACATGTTCAGGAGAATACTGAATGACTGACTGAATGTGATGGTGTTTTGTTCCGCAGGGGTGTACAAGACAAGGTCACAGATTTTCCAAAGATTACTTGGGATCTAGATAATAGAATGACTTGAAATCTACTGGAAAAGGGGAAATAATTGCTATTACAAAGAACACTATTGTTTTGGACCAGTCTAAATCATAAAGTGACTGTACACATAATGTACTAACTCAAGAAAATGAATTTAGTGTTAAGTTACTCATTAAGTAATCGAGCATGATTAAAATTATAATGGTACATTCTGTGGAGAGCATGTTACACTGTTTATAAACTTGGCCTGATGCTGGTGAAAATGTCAGAGCCATCATTTGGGATTCATACAGCAGCAATTAATGGAGCATGTACACTGCACATTCCTCAAAATTAAATGATCTGCTTTACATCACTATCACCTTTTAATCATTTAAGATCGGGCATTCTCTTGTTTGAATATTTTTGTATTCATTATTAATAATCCATTTATTAAGTAGTTACAAAGTATTTAGCTGTTAATAAATATTCTAAATTATCAGCAAGAAGTTGTCCATGTGTGTTATTTAAAGCAGAAGACAGAGGTCCCTGTATCAAAAAGAATTCCACATCCTGCTTATGAGAGTGATTCATTTTATTATTATTATTATTATTATTATTATCATTATTATTATTATTATTATCATTATCAACATTTTGCCTCAGAATGAAGGTAGTGTCCCAAACTTATCAAGTGTAAATTCTAAAAGTAGTCATACCGCTAAATCAGTAATAGACAACATCAGCTGTCTGTGAATACTGGACCAAAACCTTTCACAGCATCCACTGTTAAGAGATCAAAAGTCATCGACCAGCAGTCAGTGGACTGCAGGAGAGAGATCAAGGAGCACATTCACATCTGCCACCGCAGGCCATATCTGAACAGAGACAACACCATTTAAGCATTTGTTTCAGTTCCAGCTTTGTCTCCTAAATTCCAGACGCTTTAATTTGTGCTGCAATGGCAGCTTGATGTTTCTATGGTGAAAATTTTGTAGAGCCCCGGTGCTAACTTACCAGTACAAATTATTAATGTTATTTTTATTTTTATTTTTTATTTTATTTATTTTTTTCTACAAATGATCACAAAAAAATCTTCCAACTTCTGCTTTGTTGGTCAGGGAGCTGACTTTCAAGAACAAATATTGGATAAAGACCCATTTTGAATGGCCACAGACAAATTCTGTTATGATATCATATTCGGATAATAAAACAAAAATACCAACACCTCATGACCAGTCACTGTAATTATTATGTCAGTACCATTACAAAGTGATCTCAGCACTGTGTGGGAGTACTGACCTAATTGGCACTGCTACGTAAATAGCCGTCAATGTTTGTCAAGCTGCTGTAGAAGAAAGTTTCTCATTTTCTCTCAGCTCTGTCAATCCTTCAGGCTGTACTTGTAAAATGTATTGATGATGTATTGATTCTTTTTACGGTGTTAGTTCCTCTAAGTTAATACATGTAAATGTATTGAGCCTTTCCAGTTTTGATACTTACTGCAAAATACGGTGTCAGTTTCTCTTTAACATGCTGTTATAGTACATTCACATTTGACGGTTAATGCTGCCAGCCCCAAAAAAGTTATTTTCAAAGCATTACCAGTCTTTATGTATAAGTTTACATAGAGTTTATAAAGATAAGATATTTATTTGTAAATTATATTCATAGTTGCTGGAAGTTGCCATTACCATTGTACATCTTTCATTTGTTTCTTTGTCCTGTATTCTGTGTTTTCCAGCAGACAGATGATGCTGCCCAGACGGACAGTCAGCCACCAACGCAGACTGTACCTGAAAGCACAGACAGCAAGGCCCAACCCAAGAGACTCCATGTCTCTAACATCCCCTTCAGGTTCAGAGACCCAGACCTCAGGCAAATGTTTGGTGTAAGTACAGAAACATCTGATGTACACGGAAATTCTGAAATTTGAGACACCCCAAGTCGATGTTTTACAAGACATTAAGATTACAAAAAAAGAAAGGTGAAATAGCTGGATATTAATTTTATGTTGAATTTATGACCAGAAGACAGATCAGTCACTGAGTATTTCCTGTTTTGCTTGTCTTTACAGCAATTTGGCAAAATTTTAGATGTGGAAATCATCTTCAACGAGCGTGGTTCTAAGGTACATGGTGTTTCTGTTTTTTATCTAGGCATGTCTCAGAATTATTATATTTTCTTTATTTTTTAAAAACTTTGAACTTGTACTAAGTGTTTGAGATTTGTCTGATCCAGAAGAATCAATCAGCGCAGAAGTTTACATTAAAGGAACGCAGTTGGTTCTGCTTCTTTGTGTTTGATAAAACGTTGACCTATATAGAACATTCTTACTGACATCCCCCCTCTCAGATAGGCTCAGCCGATTAAATTAAAAGTGGGACTGCACACACAACTGATGACTTTCACAAGTCCATTAGAACCCGTTAGAAGTACAGACAAGAACACTTATTAAGAAAATCCATATATTTTAATGTTATTAAACAAATTTACATGTGTTGTCATTAATATCCTAAATGAAAAATCACATTAATGAGGGAAAACATGACTTTGACACTGATGATGTTATAGGTTGATGTTCAAAATTCATTAAAGAGTAACTCCAGTATTTTTCAACACCATATTTTTGTGTCTAAGTGATTAATAGGAACAACAATTTTTTAGACTGATCCAATATTGCATGAGAGCATTGCAGCCAGCAGCAGAGAAACAGTCTACAATATAACCACTCGGTGCAGGTACATTCATTCCACTTTTGTCCACTAAAAGTGCTTGGTTCTGCCACTTACAGGCTCAGATTGTTATAATGAGTGTCTAACAAGATTATGGAATGGACCCTATAGAGAAATAAAATGTATGTCTGTACCTTTCGCTTGTTCCAGTCTCTTTTGTGTGCAAGTCTAATTCTGAAATATTGCAGACTTTTTCACATTGTCAAAATCCATGACATTGAAAACCCTTAAGAGCGCACCTATTTACACTTTCTGCACTCCAACACAACAAACCATTACCGGCACTCCATCCAACTCTCACTAACAAGTCTACTGTTTTCCTCATGCAACAAGTGACCCCTCACAAGATTTCAGACTTCTTCTTTAGCGAGACTTGGACGCAAAACAGACCAGAACAAGCGGAAGGTATGGAGAAACATGTCATTTCTCTGTATGGTCCTTTTGAAGTGTTGTAAGATGCTCATAAAAATAGTCTAAGCCTGTCAGTGGCAAAAAAAGTGCTTTAAGTCTATATAAATTGACAGAGCACACCTGCCAGGAGTGGTTACATTGCAGCCTGTTTAGGGGCTGCCGGCTGCAGCAGTCTTGCTCACTACTGGACCAGGCTATGATTGTTCCCCCTAATGTTTGGAAAGAAACATGGAAAATAGGGACCAGGTTGAAAAATGCCACATATCCCCTCTGAGTATGTATTCACTCTTTAAAAAAATCCCCACACAAAAAACAATAATCAAAAAAACAAAAAACAAACAACAGTTGTTGTTGATAAATGCAACATTAAAACTCTCTCCTTAAAACAAAATCCTTCTTTTATACTTATTTAGAAAATTGTCAAAAATGAAATTCCTTTTGAAGTCCTTTAATTCCTTTCAGATTTTTAGAGTGACATTATTTTGGTAGATTTGGTTTACTCTTTTATGATTCATGTGTGGAATATATTAGCTGTACTACCTTGCAGTATAGGAATATTGCAGTAGATGATTTATGTCTAGGTATATTGTATGCAACTGTCATAAACCCCTGCTATAAAAATGGAGGGTTTATTATTGAGGCATGTTATTAACCCTCAAGACCTGAGTTTATTGGTACAGTGTAGGTAATGAATGGGAGAAAAGAGTAGGAGGCTTCAATTCCAATAACTAATAGTTTTGAATTAAAATGTCATACAAACGGTATTGCATTTTCTTTCATTGCTCACATTAAAAACTTCACTGACTTAAATTAATCTATGTTCTTCATGAATTCATATGACCGTTTACCAAACCCTTCCCCCAAGCAGCGATTGTCCAATCACTGAATAGCAACCGTAGCAAGGGGAGACAGGCCTGTCAAGTTTTGCATTTCTGAGTATGACAAAGCAGTGAACGTGGGGTTCTAGTAAGAGTGATACTGGGCTCCCTCCTATGTTCCCAGGGTCCTATGTTCCCCAGATTTATTTGGCACACAATGGGAACATGACCTAGGTTCCTATGTTCCCAAGCTGTATAGAAGACATTATGTGAACCTGAAAAAGATGTTGCTCAGCTCTGTATTCGCTTCATAGCACATGGACTGGGGTCAGGAGAGGGAGCTATAATTATGACTCCATAATTCCTCCTGAGTAATTAAATTGCACTGGACTTGATATTAATGGTATGTGCTCTACCTGGTGAGCTACCAGGGTGCCCCAACAGTTACTCTTTTGCATGGAGAATAACTCCAAAACATATGTCAGTCCTAAATTTGAAATAATGATAATTTGTCAACCAGCTAACTAATTAATTCAAAAAAGGAAGAAAAACAAAAGACAGAAAACTAGAATTTGACTACTGCCATTTCCAAACAGGTTAAGATTATGAAAAAGGTTTAGTGTAAGGTTAGATAACTGTTTTAACTCGAACACAATGAATGGTTTTGTCCCATTTTTTACGTAATGAAACCAAAAAACAACTGTTCTAACTTAAGCCATTAACATTAGCCTGTCTACCTATAGTAGTAACACTGCATTAATTCCAAGGCCACCTTAATTAATTCCTGGGGTTGCAGTCCATTTGTGTAAAACACCCATTCGGGACTGGAACTTCCACTGCCTCAGAGCTGGTCCTAGATTTAGCCATGTCAGAGTACTGGCAAACTTTAGGAGCTCTGTCCAGTTGCTGAAACAACCCAATTGCCAGAAAAAAATGTTGCATTGTACATTTCTGCTTCCATGTGCATTTTACATTATTATGTTGTGTATACAGCAACAGCAACACTGTGGACAACATTTGCTTACCTTTAGGCACAAAAACCAATGGGATAACACGAGGAGAAAAAAAATCATGTTTTCGTTCAAAATACATGATTTTGAGGAGCAAAAGCAACAATGTCCGTTTTTTGTGCCACTATCCCCACTGGACAAACAGGGACGGGTCGCTACAGTTATTGAAGGCAATCTCTGCCTTAGGGGTCCAGGAGAATGGGATTGAAAAGGAGGTGAGTCTAGTAAGTGGTGCAGCTTCTCGACTGAAACCCTTAATAAACCTGTAGAAATTTCAAAGCCAAGGAATCTCTGAAGCTGTAGTACTACAATACTCCAACAATGCTAGCGCAGGTGGCAACCAATCATGCGGGATATGGTCTCAATTTGCATGACGCGTGAAAAGAGACAGAAATGCTGTGCAGTCCCGCACATTGCGGGACGTCTGGTCACCCTACTTAGCCACTCGCAAGCAGCAGCTAGTAGGGGGCCCCATTAGGGGGCATTCCAACGTGTTGTCGTTGTTGCAGTGTCTATAGGGGTTCCATCATATTGTCATTGATATGGACCAATGTCAGCCATCTCTGGGGGCCCCCTTCCAGCTCAGGGCCCTAGGCAATTGCCTAGTTTGCCTGTCTGGTTGCGACGGCTACACTCCAAGAACCCCAGCCAAACTCAATGTTTGGCTGGAACACGCAGCTTTAATCTCAGTCTCTTAGTATGTTACCATTTATGTAGCACTCAGGTGCATACCCAAGACCTATTAGCAGGGTTCCAATTTCAAAAGGAGTTGGCCAAAAACTGAATTTCCAACCCATTGCCAAGTTAAATTTCAGATGGCAAAATCAAAGTTCACTGATGAAGAAGAGAAGCTGGCTTTTGTCTGCCTCTGTTTGAAAACTGCCTAAGGAGGCATCCAATGCATTATAAATAGAACTGTGGGCACACCCATTAAGATGTCCATTTTGGAGTGTATACAGCCCTTAAAATGCAACTGAATATGTGCCATGCTAGAGAGGAAACCATGACAAGCAAAGTAACAGTACCTAAGGGGGCAGGGCCATGTGAAGAGTCAGCTTTCTCTTATGAGTACTTTTTTTTGTGTGTGTGTTGTTTTGTTTTCCCCCTCGGACTTATATCATGTAATATTATTGTATATTGGTTAATATAAGATACTGAAGTAGAAGCTGATATTGTATTATCTACTGTGCTCCTATTGACGCAAGCCATTGTTTTCTGTAATGTTGAGTGTGAAATGTAAAAAATAATGTGCATGTTGTTCTTGCCTCTCTCCGTCCTGCATGCAGGGTTTTGGGTTCGTAACGTTCGAGCATAGCGTGGACGCCGACAGGGCCAGAGAGAAATTACATGGCACCGTGGTAGAAGGCCGTAAAATAGAGGTGCATGTTCTTAAATACTTCTTCCTTCCTCCTGTCCTCCTTTTCCTCTTTTTCCTCTTTGTGTTTGTATGTGCGTGTGTGTGTATTTGTGTGTATGAGCGTTTGACAGTCTACTGCCACATCCCACCTTGCCATCTTCCTCATGTCATCAAACTATCAAGTCATCTAAGCCTCATCATTTCCCTCTCCTTGTACAGTTTCATTGACCCAAACACAAATAAATGTCAAAATATTACTAGTCTGAGGAAATTGTATATAAAAGACTTTGCTTGTTTTATTTTTTGTTTGTTTACTTTTTGTTACTTTTTCCTGTTTTACTTAATTTTGTACTGTCAAGGCAACTGGCCTTGCCAAAGGTTTAAAAGTGAACATCCACACTACCCAGCATTATAGACAGACATATTTCTGTTTAAGAAGGTGCATAGATTGCTTTGGAGCTTGGCCATTAATGTTCAATAGCAAAGATGTTCCTATATATGTTTAATGAAGGATGGAGCATTCCCCCAGAAAAAAAGTATTGAAATCTTGCTTATCTAAGGATAGAGGAAGTCTTTAGAAATCCCAGAGACAGTGAAGAACGAAATGTAAGGTTCACAGCTAACCTGATTCAGTAGCATGACAGTACTTTAGTGCTATTTTAATGTCTTGTGTCCACTCAGAGGAAAAAAAGGTGGACACCATTGGCCTTAAAGCATAACTCTGCCCATTTATTGCATCACATTTGCAATCTTCCATTGCTAATACTTTATATCAGGCAATGTATAAACCTGTTGAACCGTTAGATATAAAATCATTTCTTTCTATGGTTGTACCCTGACAAAGACTTTAATACCCTGGCACCACAGGAAGTCTCCATCAAACCGTCCAATTTCAGTCACTTATCCGGTAGCAGCAGGCTAAGCAACATAGCCAAGATGCCACTTCCTCCAGCTCTTCATGGGGGATGCAGATGGGATATGTAATCCTTCCAGCGTGTTCTAGGTCTTCTCTAGGGTCTCTTCCCAAAATACTTCCACAGGAAGGAATGAGGCCAGGAGGAATCAAAACGCCAAACAACCTAAACTGGATGCTTTTGATGCAACACAGAGGCCCTGCCAATTTTCTCACTCTATGTCTAATGGTGAGCCAAACCACCCTGCAAAGGAAATTCATTATTTTGGTCATCCCAAAGCTCATCACCATAGGTGAGGATTGGGGTGTAGATTGATTGGTAAATGGAGAACTCTGCCTTAAGACTTAGCCTCCTTTTCAGATGTGCAAAATTAATCAAGATAAAGAAAAATGGCATGACCTAAACCTGCTGCCTTTAAAAACACAAATAATGCAGTAGGATTGCTGCTGCAATACAGACAAAAAACATTTTAGTATTATTCAGTATAAATAAGAGTAGTTCTGAAATAGCTGTGAAAATTAATCTAGAGTCACTCTTATCCTATAGACATTTCCTTAGCCAGTTATAATTTCTACTTACCTGTAAAGCCTTGGGCTGATAATTGGTGCTGCTGTCAGGTCCCTGTCCTGATACCTGCCTGGTTTCTCCCTGTCCCTCTTCTATCTATTGCAATAATATAGATAATAAATGTGCAAAGCAAAATTCATAAATAGAATCAGGAATAGTAGTGGTGACATAGCTGTGGAAAGTAATCGCACAGTCACTTTTGTGCTATAGATATTTTCTCTCAGCCAGTTACAATCTCTCCTCACCTGTGAAGACCCTGCATGATCATCCTTGCTGGCCTCTGGTCCACTGTCTCCTCCGTGACCCTGCTCTTTATATTGTAGCAATAAAGATTTAAAAAAAAATATGTGCAAAGCAATAGTGAGCACAAGTTCTTATTAAGGAGGAGTGGGTTTATTCCTAGCATGAAACTAGCTAGCAAACAATATAACTAGGTAACATTAACATTAGTATGCTTGTTAACTAGCTTTACTTGATATACTGGCCTCTATTAATTAGTCATCATTTGGCTAACATTATCTACATGCAACAGCATTACTCAACTTACACAGTTTGTTTGGAAGAAACTGTGTAAGGGTTTTTGCTTCTTGCTGGCTGCTTTGCTGAACATGGTTAACACACGGCAGCACTGCCCAGCAGCACACGTGTCATCTGTGCGATTGATTCTGATAACAACATGACAGCGTGTGTATGCGCCTGGCGCCATCCACTCATGGTGCATTTAAAGACAGCTTGGAAAAACACGTTACCACATGTTAAAAACGAATTGAACAGTTGTAACGGCTGTAAAAAGTGCAGGGGATGGAGGGCACATATACGGGAAGTGCCGGGGACATGGAAATTAGTTATAGAGACCAAAACCATGAATTTCACCTCACTTTGTTACATTCCTTTCTTCCTTCTAGATTAGTTAAATTTTACTATTTTATGTAATCTGACATGGCTCAGTGGTATCTTGATTTCTTTAGCTAGCACAAAACTTGAAACGTAAGTAAACCCTCAGCAATGTTTTCTTAACTAGAATTAATTTTCCTTATCAGCTGTTATCATGATCTGACAGCTAGAGGATTTTACGCTAATTTATGCAACAGTAAAATAGTGTTTCTGTGACAAGGAAATGCTAGAGCAATGACCCAGGTAACATTAAAACTTTATAAGATAAATATGATTTTAGATTACATTATTTTTTTGTGTTTTATTACAGATCGATAACATGATCTGAATCTGATTTTGAAAATAAATATATAAATTAAAGATAAAATATGCTCAAGGAGCCTTCAGAGTGTTCACTGGTTCTGTAGGACTATATTTGAAAGCTGAGCCAATATGTAGTTATCTCTAAAGTGAAGCAAATGAGATATTTTTGGTCCAGTCAAACAGTATGATGGAAAAAGAAAGCTTGTCCAGACAAAATGGTCGGAGTTATGCTTTAAGAAACCAGCTTACTGCTTGTATAGCAAGAGCTGACAGAGAGCATTTGTGCAGTGGAATGATTGCAAGTTTTCTTGGCCACCTGAGTAAGATGCTGCTTATTCCTTTCTCATCCCCTCCTCCCCCACCATCCTTTCAACGGTAGCTTGTTTAGGGCCCCATCCAACACAGTTACAACGGTAACAGTACACAAACAAGTTTGCGGGGCCAAGAGGTTTGGGAATGGTAAGTGTGGGCAAACAAGCCATTCTGCCAGCATTTCCTCTCTCTCTTCCTCTCTCTTTGGAACGTTTGCAACGCTAAAACTCACGTGACATTTCTTTTTGAATTGTGGTTGAGTTGATGCTGTATATTGATATACATATTTTCTTGCGTGTCGGAGTGCGTGTCCATTCACTAAGTGTTCTCCTGAAGCTGCGTGTGCGAGCGATACTGACTGAGATATGAATTCGTTTGCACATCTATCTGAGATTGTTGGAAACCCATTTATTAATTTATTTTATTTTACTTTGGAAAACAATGCACCCTTATTTTAATTTACCCTGTTAGCTGTTGTTTGAATTTGGAATGATTTGATTGGTTGATTGATTGACTTGGTTGGTTTATTTGAGTACATTTCTTTTCTTTGGTTGTTTTTTGATCTTAATATTATTCTTGCAATGAATTAGAGAGACTGTTGTCTGAGTGTGAATGCTTTGTGTTGCTTTCGTCACAACAGTTCTTCTCATGTTTTAAGGTTGACTGGATGTTGCATAATGCTCCCAACATATTGTCTACTACCCTTCCCCAGATGTCATTTTCTTGGTCTGTTTTTCCTCCTCCTCCTCCTTCCTCCCCCCCCCCACTGCATGCATCTATACATTTACAAACCATCATTTTGCCAAGTGCATCTGTTGTTTCTTTACATTTGTCTGTATTCTATTGAAATGTCACTATAATTGGGGAGAGCATGCCGGAAAACGTCAGAAGATAGAAAATATGCAAATGAGAAGGACAACTGATTTGTTTTGGATGTGTTTTTAAGTGTTTCTGAATGCTATTCCGAAAACACACAAATGACATGGGTGTTTGCCGTGATAAAGTGTACTGCTTTCTTTGTTTACAACATTAGGAAACTATGCATGCAGATTTACTCTAGTGAGTAAAGCACTTACTACTAAGATATAACTCATGGACTTCTCTTTATCTGCTGTAGGTCAACAATGCAACAGCCCGATTAATGACAAATAAGAAGACTGTCAACCCATATGCAAATGGTGAGGCCAAGTCAATGTTTTCTGTCCTTATATAAAGTATTCATCCCATTGTATTTTTGCATGTGTTATGTTTTTTACAACGTTGAATCAACATAGATTGTGGCCTTTTTTTTAAGATATTTTTTAGGGCATTTTTGCCTTTAATTGATAGGACAGTCAAGTGTGAAAGGGGGAGAGAGAGAGAGGGAATGACATGCAGCAAAGGGCCATGGGCTGGAATCGAACCCGGGCCGCTGCGGCAACAGCCTTGTACATAGGGCGCCTGCTCTACCACTAAGCCACCGATGCCCCTAGATTGTGACTTTTTATGTCTTTGTACCAGCAATAGCCATGGCTGGAGGTGTTACGTTTTTGGGTGTCCATCCATCTGTCTGTCCATCCAATTCTCATTAACACAATGGGCTCTAGTTTCGCAGACCAGGCAAGGTGGAGGCGCAGCGCACCTGTGCTTCGCCAACTGGGTGTGGCCAGGTGGATTTTGCAAGTTTGGCACACCGTGCGTGCTGGCGCAGCTACTCCTCTTTCCCACCTCCATCCCTCCAACCTGCACAAGTCAGAAAGAGGGAGGAGAGAAGGCGTGGAGTGGGTTTTACACACATTACACCTATCAAATGATCCCCTTTCCTCGCCCTTAAATGCGCCGTGCAAAGGCGTAATGAGAGTTTACTCAATTCTCCATGGCAGAAGAGAGCAGCAGCATCAGACGGCCAACCTTCTCCCAGCAGGAAACTGATGTTTTGGTCTGGGAAGTCCAAGCTCGCAGTGTCCGAATATACGGAACTGCGAGCAGACCTCCACGGGCTGATGATGCAAAGGTAGCCTGGGAGGAGGTCACCACAATTGTAAATCAATGTTGCGTTTCTCTCATGTGCGCACGCTCTCTCTTTCTCTCTCGCAGTCTCACTCTGTTTCTTTTCTTTTGACTTTTCTAAGATGACAGATGCTGAATATATACTCCCTATCTGATGCTGTGGCTGTTTGTGGTTGGCTGAGAGGGATGTGAACTCATTAGTTTGCAGCTGTGTTAATCAAATCAGGTTGGGTTTCCATTACGTGTGCCAAACATGCCAAACGGTGCCAATCCCCTTTGATCTGACATCAGATATGATGGACAGTCGATATAGAGATACATTTATGTGCTGATTGCAGATAGTTGCATTGAATAGTGGTTTTTGGGTATTTATTGCATTGTTAATGTGCCTGATATTCTGGAGACCTGCCTGTGAGGTTTTGGTGATGTGTGCGCACTGTCCACCGGTCAGCCAAACTTCCACTTACACCAGCTGCGCTCCCCTTGCGCTGACAGTAGACCTGGTTTCAGCTGGCGAGCTTTTAGCGCACCTTTGGCGAAGCCTTTTGGCACAAAACTGTCACTGCGCCAAGCTGGATCTGTCGACACCGCCCCCTGCTGCGCCGCCACACCCATCTCAGCGCACATCGGTCTGCCAAACTATCAAACTGAGCGCGCCTGGGGTTGGGCTGCTCTCTGCGCGGGTTTCACCATCCTGCGCCATGCCAGGAAACGAGAGCCCTATATCTCAAGAACGCACAAGGACACAACCTGTATTCTTCTGGATGAAAGTCCACTTTTATTTGACCCATCCAACTCCCCTCCCTCACCTTCTGCCTTACACTGGAATTCCACTGGATGTGTGTGGACCGGCTGCGCTGGTTATCCGCTGCGTGCTCCGCCGTCCGTCAACACCCACCAGCTGCATTTGCTGTGTGGAGCAGTGCAGCTCCGCTGGACAGCCGGAGTCATGAGGACCCCCGAGATCTCGCGAATTCACGCATAATCGCGCAATATTACAAGATGTAGTTTCTATAAACAGAACCACAAAACCAGAGGAGTAGTAGGAAGACATCTCGGTGCACCTCCATGATTAACATCTCCTCGTACATGGTGTCAAGGGGGTGAAATGACGTCTGAAAACCTCTGACCTGTTGACTTCAGGCCTGCCTCCACCCATTATGATGTTTTCAAGGTGTAGTGCAGGGAATGTTTTATTTTGTTTTTGTGCACGACTTCCTGCCCTGCACGATCTGCTCTGTACTGAATTGCTGTGTTGTGCTCCGGAGTCCGGCAAAAATAGAAGTCCTGCGTATCTGTTGCAGAGGGCTGCAGCACAGCCACAGCCGGTGGAAGCACACACATTGACTAGAATTGAAACGTATCGGCTCTGCTGCCGTTCCGGAGCGCAGACGCAACCAACACGCATCTGGTGGAATGTGGGCGTTATGTGGACTTTTTATATGCCACAGGGCGTGTCAAAGCATCTGTATTTGATGACCTGGGAATGAGAACGGGAAAATGTTTTGTTGTTTTGTCTATACAACAGGTAATCAGACGGACAAATTAACCATTTTGTTGTTAATGTTATTCAATCATACAGTTTAAAATTTCTTGGTAACTGCCGTATCAAGGAGGTATAGACTAAAAAGTAAAATAAAATTAAATATCTGAGTACATTTCCAGGTAGATTTAAGTTTAGTGAGAACATACAGGTTTGTTTAAACTAGGTACACTAAAACACTGTTCCCTTTGTTATCTTTTTCTCCTCCTCTCTGTCTTTTTCTTTTTCTCGCTGTCTGTCTTCTTTCAGGCTGGAAGTTAAATCCAGTGGTCAGCGCTGTCTACAGCCCAGAATTCTATGCAGGTAGGAGGACATGCCCTTCTCCATCTGTCACCATCTCCTTTGTCGTTATCTTCCTCCTCCTCATTCATTTTGTTCTTCAGCTTCTTCGACATCTTCATTTTCTACCCCCACCCTCAAACCCCCAACTCCCACCCACACCCCCTTCATTTTAACCTTCGTCGCCTCTCCCTGATCTGCTTTCCTTCCAAGCAACATGCAACCAAGAATAGTCTGTTTTTAGTCTGAGAACTATGCTGACTCGGACAAACGCATCAACAGACTGTCATCTCTGCTACAAAACAAACACACATTCAGCAACCCACACTGCCACCCATGAGCCATCTTCAATCTTGGCGATCCCAGCATTCACCTCCCCCAAACCTTAACCGCTGCCCATCCCCCCACCCTGTCATTAACTATGGCCATTAAGGTGAAAAATACCTGGATTTCTTGATAAGAAGAAGAGAGACAGATAAGTGGCAGAGGAGAGGAGAAGTGAAGGAAAGCAAAGGACGAGAGAAGGAAATCTAATTGTCCATTTCTGCAAGGACATTAAAAGGTGTGAAATATATTTTGTAAATTAAAATCAATATTTTCAATTTCTCCAGACAGTCGTTTGCCTAATTCACCCCCACGTTCTTTTAATTACAAAATGGCTTTGTATTGATTTACCTTTGTTTCACCTTTTGAGTATCCAAAATGCCATTGGGGCATGTATGTGTGTGTGTGTGTGTGTGTGTGTGTGTGTGTGTGTGCATGTGTGTGTTTTGCATGGATCTGCACATGTGTGAGGAATGTACAAGCTTTTCAGGCCCCTTCTGCATAAGTAATTTGTGCTATTATGTTATTAATAGATAATGATTGCAGTGGTTCAGGATAGAGGCCAGGGCCTGTTCTTGTGGTTAACTGGTTCAGATGTTTTAATAGCAGAGCTGATTATGATTCACAAGGCATTGGTGAAGACTCACCAAATTACCACTGCAAATTTCTTTAGCCTCATTTCCACCCAGCAGTCTGGTTTAATTCAGTTCATTACACATTAGAATGGTTATTTTTGTGTTTTCATTGTTAAAAGCCCTGGATGTTACCAACAGAACCATTCCATTCCCATTTTTTCATTACTCTTTTGTTGAGGTACCTAGCACACTGATCCAGTACTAAAAGGTGGGGCTAGAAACACTGCAGTCCATTGATTGATCAAGACAGGATTGTCACTCTTATTTTACAAGGACTCAGTGTACAAATCCGCTATTTTTGAATATCCCATTGATTGTGACAGAGACTCCAAACACCCCAGACTGTTCTTTTATTCTAAAAATGTTGGCGTGCAACCCTGTTCCATGGAAGATCATGGAGGTGTAAACACTCTCCTGCGTCATCATTGTAGAGGAAACACAGTGAGACCTGGGGCCTCATTTATAAATGAGGCATACAGACAGAAGGCGGCGTACGCCACTTTCTAAGCAAACATTGGGATTTATAAAAATCTAACTTGCCGGGAAAATGTGCAGTCTTCCATGGAAGCTCTAACCCATGCGTATGCTCAAAAACTGTAGACATGAGAAACTGCAACCCACATGGTAGAAAGATAAAAAACAAGGAAATTAAGACTAAACCCAGTGCTCTCCTGGCTCATCTCCCTGACACTTAAAAGCAACCATGGTAAACTTTCCTCCCATCCTATCTATTTCTATACAATATATTTGCAACAAAGACTTGTTTTTGACTTGTTTGTGACTTGGCTGTGATGCTTCACAATGGATAGGCAGCGTGATAACATGTTGCACTGTTGCTTACGGTTTTCCAATGCGCCCTGCTCAAACGAAGAACAGCTTTCCACTTCGACGTGCATTAAAATAATTGATGGCCAAGTGTGCCCGAAGCACCAAAGGGCGCCATTCAGTGGTAAACAAGGAAAAGCTCTGTGCAAGGGATTCAGAAAAAAAGCCTCATACTTAGCAGGGAAAGCCTTTTCAAAAAAAAAATAAAAAAGCTTCAGATAGTAGTGGTAAAAGCAAGCAAGCAGACAGAAACAAATTCCCCAAGAACACCCACAAAAAAAATGGATATCTATTGTGACATCACTCATTGCTTTGAGGACTCAAGTTTGGCATTTCGGCGGTCACCATCTTGGTTTTATGGACCCAGAGGTGAGAGAGGCTGGTGCTGTGAAGGAGTGAGGTGTGGATCTAACTTAGAAGCCGAGGACAGTATCTGCAGACAGTCTGTCACTTGAAGTGGCCCGCCTTTAATTATGCGTAACTTTTTTTTTTAAATAAAATGTAAACAGGTACCTTTTATTAAAGTTCACCGCTGGTACTGTTGTCATGAATTTTTGTACCAGGCTGTAGACATGGGGGTCAATGGGGATTGACTTCAAGTCGCCAGTAAAGGAACTGCAGTTTTTGGCACTTCCTTGTTGGCTTTATCTTTCAGCCCTCGAGATTACTGCTTGAACCAACTACTTAGAACAACTTAACGTCCCCCTTTCAAAAACACTGTATATATTGTATGTATTCCAGCGCCCTCCACTGTTCTCTGAATAACGGTGGAGGGCCAGTACAACCCCTGATCAGTTTATGCTAGAATTTAATGAGTCCTAGTTGCTATCTACCTGCATATGCCAAGCACTCCTTTTCATTCAGACTGTATGAACACAGCAGAGTGGAATAGCATTAGGAAGAGTTATCAGTGTGACTTTAAGGGTAGCCAGGCCACTCAGTCCTAAAATCAAGGTGACAAAAGATGAATAGGAACAATTACCAGCCTCGCTCCTCTCCTTGTCTCTCTTTGAGAAACTCTTATCCTTTGGCGCAAACCTTCCATTTTTCATCAGGTCAATGAATGATTCACTGTTTCTATTAGCATTTTATTAGATCTCCTCTTTGAAGAGATGTATAATTAGGGTTGGATATGGCACCTCGATCTCCTTCTCAACCTTCACTCACCCCAGCTCTCAAATTAAGCTTTGTGTCAGTTGTCCCCAATTAAGATTAATGATAAGTTAATAACAATACCACTGCAATAGCTCCACTCCACTGCCACTCTCTCTCTTTATTCGTTCTTTCTCTTCACACACCTGGAAATGGGAGAACACTTGACACATTGTCTCCAGAATTCAAATGCTAATATCAACTACAGGTGTACACTTCTGAATACTGCTAAAATATCTGGCCTTAATCGGAAATTTGTGCATTCTTCTTTTGGATGCTGTGACATCAGGGAAGGTGTGCATCATTTTCTGTTCTCTGTCTCCAGTACCAGGTTTTCCCTACCCAACAGCCAGTGCAGCAGCAGCATACAGAGGAGCCCACCTAAGAGGTCGAGGACGGACCGTGTACAACACATTCAGGGCGGCTGCTCCCCCTCCCCACATTCCAGCTTACGGAGGGTGAGCAGTCTTTCTTGCTCTTGTCCTGTTGTCATTTCTTCCTCTTTGGTCTCTCCTTCACTCTTTCCCTTATCCAATGGCAAGTCCTGAATCTCTGTGCTCAGACTCAGCGAAGCGGTGCATGCCAGCCTCGCCTCACAGCGATAACACACTCCCCCACTTCCACAGCATGCTGAATCGACCAACAGGCATGCTCCAAGACATGTGCCTTTGCACGGACTCATGGGAAATGATTGTCAATTTGGCCTTGTACTGTGGTGTCATTGAGAGAGGCTGTGTTCATGGCGGGAGGTCCTCCACTTTGTGACCACTTTTGGAGTTTATCCTTTGCCACAAATAAAAAAATAAAAAAAAGAAAAAAGAAAAGAGAAAAACATCTTCCCAGCCCCAGCAGCATCTCTGGCTGACCCTCCATGGCTGATTGCTCTGGAGACGAGCCAAGCAGAGCTGTGTATTGTGGGCAGTCAGATCTGATTTGCCATTATTCTGTTGGTTCTTTTTATTTATTTTGCTCTTTATGACTGCAAGCAAATGGACACTAAGGAGGCTGGCTGGGAGTCTATTTTAAGATGAGATTTTTTTTTTTTCCCTGCTCTCACTAGTTATTTTTCCGTCCGAATGTAGTGGTAATTTCCAGAACACTGCAAAATAAAATGCGATTCAGTATGAATTTTCATCCACTACTGTTGTGCGAATATTCCGAGTTTGTTCATGGAGAACAGTTGAAAATGTAAATGTGTAAATATGACATTTCTGCTTGCATCATGTGTTAATGTGAAGAAGTATCCTCATCACTCCACACACATCTGATGTTTTCATCTCTTCAATGGAGGTTTGAGTGACGTATAAGTCACATGTTTCATGTTAACGTATCCTCATACAACCGTTCATATGACATTCTATGAAAATGCACACACCACAGGAGGTAAGGTTTGTGCAAGTAGAGGTACCGTGGTTAGGTTAAGGAAAGAAACATGGTGAAGACACGTACAACTTTTCTGCAGTAGTTCTATGTTTTTCACATTTCTGGTATTTCCACTCCCCTTTTTTTCAGATTGTGCAAATTTAAAAAGCATACACAAATAAGTGGATGGAAATGCATGTACTGCTAACAACAGAAGACATAGACCATTTCAAACTTGACAAGAGGCTAAATAGGTCCCTTTGTATTTCCTGGAATTCTTTGCAGTGTATGTGAATGACATCAGCTGACATGGAGTAGACATGGACACAAGCTGTTGCCTAGGAATTCTATAGACTGAATCACTGTGATGTCGCACTAACACTTCTGGGTAGATAACTGGCAATATGAAATCGGAACTCTTGCTTATTTCTGTTGTCATTTTTAGTCATAACTGTAATGTTTAAAGATATATAGTTAAATCCGGTGGTCTGACATTTCTGTAATGCTGTACTGTGTTGCTTTGCTACGAACAACTAAATATCCCAGCACAGAAGCTAAGCAAGCATGCAAGCATATCTCGAATATTTTCTCTGCACTGTCTCACTCATTAACTGATCGAAGCAGCTGTAGACCAGTAACTTTTATGTTCTAAAATCACAAATCAAATCAAATCTCTCTTTTCAGTGGAGGCCGGTGGCTTTGAAATAACGGCTTCAGTTCCCTGTTGGAGAGGACTTTTTGACAGCGAGGTTAAGCGGTGAAAATATTTTAAATGTAACGTATACTTAAACTGATGATTTTTTTTTTTTTTTTTTGGTGGATCTTTCTGTAGGTGGCTAAAAACAAACCAATTTAGGCAACATTTGCTCAGTGTTCCTTCATTTTAATATAGTCCACTGATCAATAATATTCCAAGAAAAACAGTTCTGATACTTTCGCAAAGGTACAGATGACCAAAATTTAGTAAAATATTTAGACCAAAACACATTATAACATCCGTGGATATTCACGGACTGCTGTCACATCATTTCAAATTTTCTAATTGCTCCATGTATTGTCGATGATAACACCCAATAAATGCAAATATACTGCCGAAGACCAGTACCAAAGGGGCTGCTGCACACTGACCTTTGGATTGATACCTCACTTGACCCAATACAAGCTTCCATGTCCTCTCCACAGCCTACAATAGCCAACAAGAGCCTGTGTTGAAAGGAAGGGTCTGCATCTCTTCCCTGTATATAGAGCCAGCCTAGAGCAGACTACTGTGCTCGTGACTGAGGCTTGTTATAGTCAATACAATTTCCAACATGACGGTATGTAAAACCATTTAAATATGAATAAATATTCAACAGATGGTTCTTTTAATGTCTTAATGGGAAAGTCCTGGCTTTCTTGTTAATTTACATGATCTAAAATTCATTTTATACAATAAAGTCATAAATAGTAAAATATCCTTTTTAATTGCATTGTTATCTGCTCTGGACTAGGTAAGGCTTTATGCTATCATCAGGCATCTGTTTTCAAGGAAATATTTTGGCCGAAATGTAAACCTTCTGTTTTAGTGTGCTTCAGCTTATATTACTCAATGGCAGAAGCACTTACACTGATTCAGACTGTTGGGAAAAAAAAGGAAAAAAAAAAAATTCTGCTTGTCACCTTTCAAAAGAGACCCTGTGTGTCCATGTACTCCAAGTGGTACAAGAACAGCTCTCTGTTTACTTTAGGTATGCCTTGGATAGACATTTCAGGCTCATTTTGCAGGAACAGTAAATCAGCAAACAGCGTGAAAAGCAAATGAAAACGAAAGCAGGTTGTTAGTGGCAATAAAGGCTTGTCTCTAATGGAAGCTTGTCTCCAATGACGGCCTGCCTCTCTATTCAGTTGAGAGGCAGATTCTTGTTTTTTAAAGGCTCTCTGTTGGAGGAATGAATAGTACCTTCACTCACACACTCTGTCGCTGTGAACTGTAGAAGAACCGTTCACATAGGATCAGGGAGATAGGTGTTTAGGTGAACAGTCGCACATTGTCTTTATAAAGAGATATGTGCTACAGATTGTACTTTCATTAACACTCCTGCACTGCTTAATTGCCCTGGTGGCAGTTGGATGGTGAATTATTAATGTGGACTGTGATGTATTTTTATTAAAACTGTCTCAAGTGGCAACCACCCGGCTCCAAATAGATCCTGTGATACAGCTAGGAAACCGAGTTTACTTACTCACATTTTTGGAAAGTGAAGACATTTTGGTCAGTCTTCACTTCTTCAAAGGCCTGTTTGAGAGTTAAGACATGGTTTTAAGGTTCAGGTTACCATTAAGTTTAGGGTAGGTTAGGGGACAAAAAGTGTAACACTGAAAGTGCTCACTTGGCACTGGCAACAGGCATTAGTGTCTTAGAATATTTTTGCCCTCCATTTGAGGTTATCTATTCATAACTCTTAAAAGAAATCATGACATGTAGTCCTACAGAAGTCATTCTTATGAGTGAAGTGACTCCCAGAATCACCTTGACATTTGAGAAGTTATTGATTATCAGAGATAGCACAAACAGTGTGTAACTAGTCTATTGGCTGGTGAAAGTGGAAGCTTGGTCCTCTGAGAAGCTCTTCTTGTTAAAAGGAACTCCATCATAATGCAGTGCTGACAGCAACGTCCTGCTCATTTTATTGGACTCTAGATGAGGAATGCTTTCTCTCTCTCTAACACACACACAAACCTGCATAATCTCAGCACTAATGGTCCTGCAGCGCTTTCATATAATTAGACAGGGGATTCCACTGCAGATCAGGACACAAGAATAGAGAAACACACACAATTATGGAATTATGATCTTGCCTAGCTGTTAAGGTGAGATAGCATGGGTGTTTAAAGATAAACGCCAGGATTTTCCTCTAAGTGCTCTCAGCTAATTGCTTGTGTTTTTGTTGTTGTTTTTGTTGAAAATGACTTCACAAATGAAATCACTCTACTCGTCATATTTAACTCAGCCTGCGAATACAGTTTTATAATATTCTGTGGTTCTGAAGCCTGGATGTATAAAGGCAACTGGATACAGTGTTGGAGGCGGGGCCTTGTTCATTCCTATAAAAGTTGCCCAGTGGCGCATGAAAGCAAAAAGGTTTGACCTAAGTCTTCTGCTAACTTGAATGGGGATAAAATGATTCAATGGTGCCACTCCTCTAAACTTTTGAAATGTCATCGAAACAAATGGACCCATTTCAATAGTGAAACAAGTCATTTTGCGGGGCTTGTGAGATTTTAAAAAATGTATTCACTGATTTATAGATATCTCTTTCTCAAAGTAAGTCTATGGAAAACAAGTCCTGGGCCCAGTGGCATCATGTGACGGACCTGGTAGTTGTAGTTACATGGTTTGGCCACTATGTCAAATTCACTTCATAGTCTGGCACATCTCCTAGGATCTGCTCTGGAGGACCTTAGCAAGTCTAAGAGAGTAAGACTGATGATGTCTTACACACATTTTATAGTTCTGCATTGAATCTATGCCGTAGCCTGACGTGCACCTCCCCAGAACTGTAACTATGCGTTGCGGTGACACAGACCTCCTGTCGCTGTATACTGACACCATTTCCCTCAGTCGAAACGAAGCTTGTATTTACTTTTAGTTCACAGATAAGAAACAATAAATTGTGAAGACAGTAAAGCCTCCACTAAAATAGCATTTTAAGTCTTGTGTGTGATTTATCCTTCAGGGATTTATACTTAGGGATTTATCCAGGTTTCATATGAGAAGAGGAAATCTCCGCTCGTCGCCAGGCTAATTTATAAAATGTAAAATGCCATAGGCTGGCGCTAATAAAGTTAGCATGTTGTATTTGTTTGGAAAACATGTTTAATGTGACTGTTGTTCTGTTGGTGAACCTTGTGAGTTGTAATGGAGCCAAATTATGTGCTGTTACCTTCGTAAAATGTTGCTGCTGTCCCTGGTTTTATATGAGATGAGGGAAAAATCGCTGTCCGCTAGGCTAATCAATACAATGTAAAATGCCATAGGCTTGTGCTAATAGCGTTAGCATGTTGTATTTGTTTAAAAAATGTGTTTAATACAGGACAGTTGTTTTGTCAGTGAACCTTGTAATGGAGCCAAACTGTATGCTGTTAGCTTTGTTAAATGTTGCCGTTGTCCCTGGTTTTATATGAGAAGAGGAAAAGATTGTTAGTTGCTAGGCTAATTTATACAATGTAAAATGCCATAGGCTTGTGCTAATAACGTTAGCATGTTGTATCTGTGGGGAAAATGTGTCCGGATTAACATTTGTCTGTGAATGCTGTGAGTTGTAGTGAAGCTGATTTGTGTACTTGTGTTTGAACTTGTCTCTGTTAAGCCATATTTAGGCTAATGTGTGTTTTGGGTGTGTTTTGAATCAACTAAACTTTACAGCACTTAACAGAAACCTCCACCGCCGACTAGTGTTTTTGAGGTGTAACTGCAGTAAAGGCTCTACGCACAACCATAAATCCCCTTTTAGTGATGTCATCAGGGTCCTCACAGCTACTCAGAACAGTCAGAAACTACAGATTTATAGCAGAAAGCTTTAGTCACAGATTGGAGGTATGAAGTTTGGAAAATGTGGTGGCAAGTGAGGGTCTGTTTTTTTGTTTTGTTTGTTATGACAGCTTTCTATCTGTGTTGTTTTTCTCTAAAAGATGATGCAAAAAATGTAATGTAATGTTTTTATGTTATTAGCACATCAATCAGGATTTACATTTAAAGCAAATATTTGTTTCTGATGGATCTACTGATGATGGTCACTGTCAATTACATCTGTGTACACCACACATGCAGATTGTGTGTTAAACAACGATACATAATAAGTAAACATTTTTTTTTCTAACCCAATGCCAGAATAAATGTTGACATTATACATTCCTGCAAACCATAGATTCATTACATTTGTATGTTGATATGTAGTGGACATGTTGGAACTTTAAATTTCTTTAGCCTACATTTCAACAATGCTGTGCTTAGCATCATGTTTAGGCACAAAAACACTCGGTTATGGTTCATAAAACATCATGTTTTGGCTTAAAATACCCGTTTTTGTTGGCGAAGTAGATACTGGATAAGCATCAATGTCAGGGTAAAATACAATCACTTTTGGTGGCACTATCATTGTGGAGAAAAACAGCGACAGGTCGCTAAAAAACACCAACATTTGGCGGGTAAAAGTCATTGGAAATGGAGCAGAACAACAGGTTTTGTTGCCAGTTGGTATCAAACAGTGGTCTGTAGCTTGGGAGCTGTCTCGCCTAGCAGTTGCACCATCCCCTCCACCGCTAGATGATAAAGTCAGCTCAAATACTACATCACTTTAGAAACGTTGATATGATGTGTACAAATACATACAATTGTAATGCATTTGTGGTTTACAGAAATGTACAATGCCAACATTTTCTTCTGGCAACATGCAGTCAGACCAGTAATGTTACCGCAGCAAATATAGTGGGACATTTAAGCAGCAAAACTAAAAACTGTAGGTATACACTTGACAGAGGAAACAGAAAATTATCCATTTAGTTACACTGCTCCTCATGCATAAATGTGCACATTGTCTCAATGTGGAGTTAGACAGCAGCTCTGCTCTCTGCTATCTTCACATTTTACATAATGTCATTCATATTTTCCTCATTAATGAAAATGTTTAATTATTTCACTCACCTGCAACCCATCCGTGCATTCTTGCTCCCTTCACATTCACATTTGAACTCCGTTCACATTTGAACTGTCCCATCAAATAAAGGCAAAAGAGCCAAAAATATATACATCAAAAAAGATAGGGCCCTTGGTGTGCTGAATCCTTGTGTCCTTGAAAGGTTGGACTCCATAATTCAGTTTCCCAGTTCAAACTCCCAATAACACAAGTTGAAAGTGTGCATCCTCTCCATCAAGAAAGGCCAACGCTCCTTGGCATAGTCCTTGAAATAGGACTACTTTTGCACATGATACGCAAAATTGCACATTTGGAACATTTTAACAAATACATTAACTAAATACATTATCAACAAAATGAATGAAAGCCATATATTAAAAAAATATACTAAAATATTAAAAATTATACTAAAATAGAAATTAATATATGGCTTTTGGATTTATTTTTTCATATTTGGCTTACATTGGGTCATCATGCTATACATATATATATATATATATATATGTGTGTGTGTGTGTGTGTGTGTGTGTGTATACATATATATGTGTTCAATACATTTTTAGATAAACACCTCAGTATAAATCTGATGCTGCTGATCGGACTATTAGATATATACATTATGTGAAAATAATGTCAGAGAGTGTTTCTGGACCTTCCCAGCCTCCTTACCCAGCCATTAGAGAGCAGAGAGGGGTGCCTGTTGTATTTCCCCTTTGCCTCTGCCCCTTGTCCTTTATTTTTGGGGGTTGTGTTTTGGATTGTGGAGATGTGGGTTGGTTGGTAGCTAGCCCAGTGCCTGCATGTCAACATGCACTAATATGGATGTTTTTGTTTTATTGTGTGTTTGTTTGTCTGTTTGTTTGTGTTTGCATCCTCTGCAGTGTTGTTTACCAGGATGGATTTTATGGTGCAGATATTTATGTAAGTATTATTTACTGGTATGACATTGCATGCTACACCGCCATCTCCGTGGTTTCTGCCCTGTTGCTACACACATGCAAGCCCCCAACCCTCCATACTCATTCATGGCTTCATCTTCAGCTGGGGGAGCAGGTAGCTGGTTATGCTTCACTCTTAGCAAGAGGCAAGTAAGGCTGTTTTTTACAGGTGTAAAAACTCATACTACAACAGCCAACACAGAGGTAGACATGGTGGGACTATAAAAGTGGAAAAATGACTTTAGGAATCTCACAGTCTGATTTGATTCTGTTTCTTGGTGTCATGATTTGATTAGGAATCAATTCTTGATTCAATAAATATAAAGAAGCACTACTTCCAGGCTCTATTTTCAGTGCACTGTGTGTCAATCCATTCGCTCATGGTGTTAGTCCACTGATGTGTGATATAAAATGTAACTGGCAGTAAAGCTAAGTGGTCTTAATGAAGGTCACTGTCTGACTGAACACATAAAGAAAAAGTGTGTTAGTAAGTGCATTATTTTTATTTGAAAAAGCTGAGAAATGTGCTGCAGTATTCTGCCATTAAGACTTAAAAACAATTTGAAAAATTAGTACAATGATACAATAACTACAATGTAGACTACAATGCATCCCTGGTAACATTCCATAAGTCGGGCAAGGGTACAACAACTGGTCACAGCTTTTATGATGTCATCTTTGACAAAATAATATAATGACATTATCTACAGTTATATTCCCTGCTTTGCCAAATGCAGTCTGGAACATGGATTGAGTAGGTTACCAGTCTGTGCAGTTTAATTATCAGTGTGTATGGTTTAATTATCTGTTAATGTGTTTTATTAATCTTTCTTCTTGGATTTACAAACTGCATATAATAATAAACCACATACTTAAGTGGAGAAACCCCACGCTAACATAAGAGGGCTCAGGCCAGCCAGCTGAACGCTCTTGCTGTGAGGCAACAGTGCAAGTTGAAATACATAATCTTATCTTTTCTGTATTCTTATGTTCTTGGCAAGTCAGGTGCCAGCATGAAGTGAGTGAGGGAACTGTTTAAATTTGCAAAATTTTCAATTTCATTTAATTTTTTTGTAACATACAATAAAATCAATTGATTTAACCAAACAATAAAAGAAATGCCAGAGAACATAGGGCTACTGTTTCAAAATAAAAGAATATACTTATGATGAACTTGACCGTGGATGAAGTGGGCATAAAATGCCATTCTGGACATGGAATCACATTATGGAAAAAGCTCATCCGTACAACTCTCAGTCTGGATGTGTGTGTAAATATATATATGATATGGTTTAAAAATATCATATGATTTCAAAATAAATCATAAATCTGAGTATGTCAATGTGTTTCTAATGTTTGAAAATATGAAGTAGACACCAATTTTGCCAAAACAGTTTAAAAAAATAACTTGTTTTAAGTAGCTGCCATCTTGGAAATATACAGATGTGTCCAATCATAAAATTACAATTCCAGTGTGTCTCTCATGGTCAAAAAACATAAAACAGGTACAAAGCTTGCATTTGTAGCTCATCTGATTCAGAAGTTATAGCTGAAGCTGTTTTCATCTTCTACATGTATTAAGCTATGTACAGTTCGTACCAAATGTGGTGCTTTTATCACAAAATGAACGACTGTCTTGATTTTGTGAGCTACTTACAACCACGAAAAGCAAACAGCGGAGCGGAGCGGAGCCACAAGCTCACACGTGGGAACTGCGAAATCACGCGATAAAAAGCACCATTCACTCCCAATACTCCTGCAATTTCACACCACGTCTTCTCCTTTCGGTGTGTATCCTTGTAGAAAGGATGTCTGGTGTCATACAAAATACTATGGTTTTCCACTTCAACTATGACTTTCTTCTCGTCCGCCTTTCCTCGGACCCTCGCACTGACTGACAACTTGTGCAACAGGATGTGATGTGATTTTTAAAAAAATTGAGAGTTTACAATCCGTAGTCCGTGCATTGTGCTGTATTTTGAAATTTACCGGATGTTGTGTGCATTCTGTTTCCGGGTTGGTGCGATCTGAGCTACCTGGCTTGACGTGCTATGGACGCGCAGTCACTGAAAAATAGACCTGGCATGTATCTCTGACGAAGCGGAGCACCGTGGCGCTGCTGGGACGCTCCAGAGACGCTGAGCGGCGCGCACTGTGGAAATGAAGCTGTTCACTAGAATGGGAGTGTATCTGCTACACAGTGTGCTGCGCAAACAGAGTATGTGGAAATTGGGGGTAAGCCATCCCTCATTTGGCGCCAGGGCTGGCTCTTGGGATGGAGAAAATAAAATGTAAAGTATATTTAGGTTCATTTTTACTTAGTATAATCATGACAGTTTTAGAGCCAAAATAGCCAATTAGAGCAACATTATTTGCATATGCATATTAACATGCATATCCTTATAGCCACATTGTTGTCACTTTAAATTTTAGTTAATTATTTCATTTTTACATAACTATTGCTGTGTCTCAAATGGATACTTCCATTAGTACGCTTGAGTGTAGTACACTGCGTATACTATGTACTTACTTGTGTAGTGTGTGAAATTTGACAGGGTAGTGATGTCTTAAACACGGCTGCTGTGCACTTAATCTCTATGACGATAGCAAGATTTGACAGCTACAGCAAAATAGTCATATGCTTGTTTGCTCACTGACTCCTTCTGTATCTATTTATTGTTTGTATTAAAAATGAACATGCTTTCACAGCATGTTTCAGCACCTGCAAATATACTTGGTTGATACAGGCTGACTATATCACCAACTCATACTGAGTGAATGACGATATTTTCTGACCAACTTGCCTGAACCACCCAACCTGCAAGTCAACGTACAGGACCCTGCAGGCTGTGGGTCAAACTGCACATCACTACTACCTGGTTAGCAAACATTTCTGTTATTTTTTGTGGTACCTGATTATTACCGAGTTAACACAATAAACAACCTAATGGTTTCTATCTGACAACAGTGTAGTGGTTATGAAAAATACACATGTATATTTGTACAATTCTTCTGTGTTCACCGCAGTAGTCGACTGACATTTCACAAGTCTAAAACGTGTTTGTGGTCCCGCCCCTTTCACTATAGCCCCTTTTCCACCGCAGGAACTTTTCTCATTTACCCAGGATTTTGAAAAACCTCTGCGCGTTTTCACCGAAATTACCCAGGGAAAAAACTTTCCCTCAACCCCAAATTTTCTCTGAAAAAAGACTTTTCAGGTTACCCGGAATTCTTGAGGGGTGGGGCTGTGTGCCGAAGAATGCTGATTGGTGGAACACACACGCAGCGTTCCGCACTTCCGTGTCAGTGTGTCTGCACTTTATTTCATTTCTACAAGCTCCACTTTGTTTCTGTTTTGATGAAGGATGGGTAACGAAACCCAGCACTAAATTAGCTCCAGGGCTAAATCATCAAAGACCGCAGTATTGATAAGTGCTAACGGTATCGGTTCTTTTGTGCCGGCGCTGATCTCCTCCACATCCACACACACATCCATACATACACTGATGCGACACGGTAACCAGTGAACAGCTGAGCGGCCCTGGTGGAAACGAAGTGAAGATAACTCAAAAATTACTTGAGTTGATGGCAGCTACACTCATTACTGTAAGTGACACTAACCTTTAGCGAGTAAGAAGCCAATACTTTATCAATATGTGTGTTCAGCAAGCATGAACATGTAAACGTGTAGACAGAGATATTCAACATGCTCCGTCCGCAGTCTCTCATCCACCAACACTAACGTGATGTCTTACACGAGGACAGCACGCTAGATCAGCTGATAGTGAATTGTTAATAATAAACTCAAATGACAGCTGTCTGTATGTAGACTAACTTAGTTTTACACTTATCTTAAAACACTTTTAAACTTAGCTGCTGGCTGAGACAAAGAGCCCCAACTGTCTACACCAGCATGTAACCAGCCAAGCTGGCGGAACCAAATACAGGGTACATGCCGAATCATCTACGTCATCACACTAATGGAACTCTGAGGTGCGGTGGAAACACAAACCACACAGATTACCAGGAATTATTTTACCCAGGTAAATAAATTCTTGGTAATACGGTTCCTGGAAATGTTGGTGGAAAAGGGGTTTATGTAAGCACCATGGCAACCATTGAGGGTGAGAAGTGTCCAATGTTTTACATTCAACTTTTTAACCATTATGAGTGAACTATAAAGGCATTCATAGTGCACTGCATTTTGCCATATCTCTGTGTGAACACATGTATGTGCTCAAAATAGCAAGTATATGTACAAAAGTATCCAATTTGAGACACAGCACGTCTGTCATTTAAAAGAGATCTTGATCCCAGTGAGACGAAGTGAAAAACTTTTTTTTCAAAATACAAAAAAACGTTAATTCATGGATACGTGTTAAAAAAAAAGAAGCAAAAGGTTTTATTTTTAAATCTATTGTTAAAAAAAAATTCTGGTTCTCCTAGACCAGGGCCCTATTTCAGAAAGCAGGCTCAACAAACTCTGAGCCTAATCCCGATCTCCAAGTTGACTGAGCCTGAGCTGGGAAACTCTGAGTTTTCCATTCCAGAACAGCTGATCAGAATTAACTCAGTCAACTCTGAGTATGTTCAGCCTGAGGGAAGTGCTTTCACAGTGAGCACCAAAAGCCATCATCAGTGAAATGCAGATAACATGATTCTCTGTGGCAGAAAGCAGAGTTAAAAGCTGAGCCACTTACTTCATCCCAATTGAATTTGAGATTTTAATGACTGCAAATGAAGACTTCGAACATGTCTTCAAAAAAAAATTAAAAATCTAATACAGCAGCTGCAGCTAAACAGCATGAGGTAGGATGGGAAAAGACTGCAGTGTGTTAAAAGATAATGTGAAGTGATGTCATGTGGTGATGCATGTCTAATATACAGAAAATATATCAACATTTTTATATCTTAACAGTGTTGATATATTTTAAAATAATACTTCCGATTTACATAATCTCCTTTATGCTCAGATGGAGCTAT